TTTTTGTTTTAGTATTTTGAAGTTGACCAATTGTTACTATAAGCAATTAATGATTATAGATGATCTGCACCGTATCAACTTTTTACTTTGTATAGTGCGGGTCACACTAACACATCAAATAAAAATTTATCAACTTTGAAGCCTAATAAGGAAATATAGGTGCTTGTCTGAAAAAAATTGAGACGATATTTGATAGCTTTTGACTAGTTCTACAATCTATCGTCTAGATATTTTTAAAAAATTATTGGTTCTGGAGTTATTAGCTTTTAAAAATCATGTGATTTTTATATGTTACATATAAAATTTTCCAAATTTGAAACATATAGTTTTGACCCAACTTATGTTATACGTACATGGCAGAATTTTCTAATTCTAGTCACAACATATGACCTATAAAAATCACGTAAATTTAAAATTTACTAGTGATGACTTGGAAATTCAAATTAACCCTGAATTGGAAGAAGATGAAAAGAATACACGTATTAGTAACACAGGATGAAACAACATTCCAATCTAATGATGATGAAAAATGATGCTGGAGACCAAGGAATGAACAACCACTGAGAAAGAAAGGTCAAGGGAGAACAATGTATGTAAGCAACTTTTTAACTGAAACAATTGGTAGACTTAAATTATCAGATGAACAAAAATTAGAACTTTTCTCATGATACTCAAGTCATCATATGTCCTGGAAAGAATGCATATGGCTAGTGGAATCTTGAAGAGCTAATAAATCAAGTAAGAAAAAAAAGATCAATATCAAGATAAAGGATAATCAATAATCAACTAGATTTATTATTTTTAGATTGTTAACAAGGCCATACCAATTTTTGAACTAATACATCCTAATAGGATTGCAGTATTTGCATTTGATCATTCATCAAGTCATGCTAAAGTGGCAGATGATGCATTGAATGCATTTACAATGAATCTAAACCCTGCAGGGGGACAACCAACCATGAGGGATACTATTTTTGATGGTAAAGTTCAACAAATGGTATTCCCAGATGATTTTCATGTAGAAAAATTGTGTGGAAAACCAAAAGGAATGAAGATAATTTTGGAGGAAAGAGGGTTATGGAGGACTGGCCTAAAAGCATTCTGTAAAAAAAATGGTTAGTTTATTATGCATAATATAATTATATTACAATTATCAAAATATAAAAATAATCATCTTGTTATTATTTTTTTATAAGTTTCTTTTGAAGAACCTTTGACTTGTTGTGCTAGACATATCTTAGCAACCCAAGATGATTTTAAAAGCAAAAAACCCTTACTTCAAGAATTAATTGAAGCAAGGGGTCATAAGATCATCTTCTATCCAAAATTTCATTGTGAGCTTAACTACATTGAAATGTATTGGGGGGCTGCTAAATGGTGTGTTAGGCAACATTATAATTACACATGGAAAGGTCTTCAAGAGAATGTTCCCAGAGCCTTTGATTCTATACCATTGAAATGAATTAGAAAATATACAAGAAGGGCTGCAAAATTTATGGACTGTTACAGGCTAAATATATTGTAAAAAAATATAAGTCTCAGAAAATTTCCAGATGATGTTGTGGAAGAAATTGATGAATTAATATAAATGCATTTTGGGGAAGTCACGTGATAAAAATTAAAAATGTCATTTTTGTAAAGTGATAAAAAATATTTTGCTTGAATTTGAAACATTTTGCTTGAATTTGATGTGTTAGAGTGACCTGCACCGTACGACTTGCTCACTCATAGACGGAAAGTAAAGAAATGTTTTGATTAAAGATTTTCTTTTTTCTTTTTAATAACTACAAACAACTACTAATATTTCCATCCTCTTTATCACTATATAAATTAATAATCCATATTAATATTAAAAAAATATTCTATTTTTTTAATACATAATATTAATATATATAAAATAACGAGATTAATATATTATACGTTTTCGTTGATTGTAATTATCGAAATATGGATGATATAATGCCAATTTTGCTGAAATTCGTTTACTAGGTTCATAAACCAACATATTCTATATGTATATTGAAAAAAATTATATAAATTATTTATCCATATTTTAGTGTATATATATGTGTATGTATGTATATATATATATATATATATAAGTACCTCTAATAAATCGATTGCTTCATAGTCCAGGTTTGGAATACGTGATTTTAATGATTTTGCTACCCAGTTAGGGAAATTTACTTTATAATTTTGCAAGTTCGAAACTCCAGGCCATGTATTTTCATTTGGTGTACCAAGTAAACTTGTTTTGTGTGGCGTGGGAAAAAACCATTTTAGTCAATTTATAATATATAATAAAAATCTATATAAATAAAATACCTAAATATTTTAAAAAGTTGGTCTATTCCACTGCCACCTAGAAAATTATTTTCTTATAATTAGCAAATTTTTTCTTTTCTATCACCATCATCATTACCAAAATATATATACCTCTGAATAAAGCATCATTCAAAAACATTTCAGCAAATATACAGGCTACACTCCAAATATCTACACCAGTTGAATATTGTTGACATCCGAGAAGTATTTCAGGTGCTCTGTACCATAAAGTTACAACCTACAATAATAATAATAATTACAATAATTAGGATTTATTATTCGTGAATCAGACAATTGATTGATATATATAGATAATCAAATGTTACCTCATGAGTATGAGCTTTTATTGGAAGACTACATACTCTTGCTGATCCAAAATCAGCTAATTTTAAATTCCCATTAGAATCAATCAACAAGTTATGCGGTTTCAAGTCTTGATGGAGAATTCGATGCGAATGACAAAAACAAACGCCATTCATTAATTGCCACAAAAATTTCTTTAATAATAATTGAGAGTGAGAGTGTTTAATTGATTAATTGATTAATTGATAGGATTTCTAAATTAGTTGAATTGATTAATTGATTACTTTGACAATTATTTCCGATAAACCGTTATTATTTTTTATATATTTCTTTAAGTCAGTTTCAAGATATTCAAATACTAAATATATATTATTTTCAGATTGAACTGTATCCAATAATCTATCAATTATATAATTAATAACTAATAACAATAACTTAAAGATTTTAACAAATCAAATTAATCAACAACATCATCCACTAAACATAAAAATTCCTCCCCAAAAAAAAGAACACCTTACTTTACAATGTTCTTGTTATTAATTCTTTTTAATATTGATATTTCTCTAACAGCTGTATAGGGTATGGCGGGCATACCACCACCATCAAACTGATTTCGCATATGAAATTTTTTTAATGCAACAACACGTCCTGTTTTTTTATCTCTACCTCTATATACCACACCAAATGTTCCTTTTTTATTTATTTTATTATTATAAAAAATAATAATAATAGTAAGGAATTAATTATTCATTGTTTGTGGATTTTATATTTGTTAAAAAAAATACTAACCTTCTCCAACTTCTTCAATCTTTATATATCTATCACCCATATTATAATGGTGTATGTATATATATACAGTACCTAGACAAAAGAATCGGAATGCACGTTTTTGTTAATTACGCAGAAACATACATAATAACCACATATTA